GCGCAGCCCGGCCCCGGCCCCGGCCGCCGCACTGGGGTGGCGCGGGGCTGCGCTCCAGGGCCCGGGGCAGTCATGTGGCAGTGGCCCTTCCTTCCCCCCCGCTTGGGGCCAGGGCAACCGCCACGCCCCTTGCACTGGGGCAAGCTCCTTCGGCCCCACTGCAGCGCCGTGCCCAGCCCCCGCTGCCCCTGGGCTTGTGAACGCGGTTTGAGTCTGTTCGGGGGGGTTTCATCACCGATGCAGTGGCATGAAGGCATTCCCGCGTCGTGTGATGTATTCCTGCATTACCGCATTAATGCCATTGCATTATTGATTAACGCATTCATGCGTTACTGCGTTCATGTCATCGCATTGGGTGATGTATTCATGCATCCCTGCATTACCGCGTCAATGCCATTGCATCCTGTGATTTATTGATTAATGCATTCATGTCATTGTATCGTGTGATGTATACATGCGTTCGTGTATTTCATCGTGCAATGCATTGATTAATGCATTCGTGCCATTGCATCCTGTGATGTATTAATGCCTTCATGCATTACTGTGTTCATGGCATTGCGTCGTGTGATGCATCTATGCATTCCTGCATTTGTGTAATTGCCTCGTGATGCATTGATTAATGCATTCATGTATTACTGTATTCATGTGATTGCATCGTGTGATACATTCATACATTCATGTCATTGCATCATGTGGTGTATAAAGACATACAAAAAACTAGACCTCTTGGTTCCAAAATGTTACCTATTATTAGACCAACTGGTATCATTTTGGAAACCAAGAATTCTAGTTTTTTGTATGTCTTCTTGTTTCAGACCAGCATGGCTACCAAGTACACCTCTGAAGTGATTGTCATTGCATCATGTGATGTATTTATGCATTCCTGCATTAATATCATTACATCATGTGATGTATTGAGTAATGCATTCATGCATTACCGCATTAATGTCATTGCATCATGTGACATATTAATGCTTTCATATATTAATACATTAATGTAGTACTGTACTCAGGAAGGAAAAAGTACATGACTATTACATTTTAAAAACCCACCGTATACATTGGATTCAACATTTCATATTTATTTTAATGAATGTCCTATCGTTTATCTCTTGGGTAACTCTCTGCCGGCTCCCGGAGATTGTACCTAATTCCTGGAGACTCCAGGGCAAGCCTGGAGTGTTGGTAACCCTACTTTCCCTGCAGGGCTGGGGTGCTCCTGGGCCTCTCTATATGGCTGGATGGGGCTTGCTGCAAGACGCTGGATGTGGGCCACCAGCTGGATCTGGCTCATGGATGGGCTGGGCCCTGCCCATCCCGCGCAGGGGACAAAAAGATTGACCACCACTGGTCTAAAGCCCTGGGACAGGCTCGCTACAGAGGCTTTGGAATCTCCCTGGAGGGAGGTTTTTAATAACAGGTTAGGCGAGCATCTGTCAGGAAAGGTTTATGTCTAAGTGACCCTGCCTTCGGGCAGGGGGTTGGACTGGATGACCTCTCCAGGTCCCTGGCACTCTCTTTACCTATGATACTTTATGTTATTCCAGTCGTGCTGCCTTGTGTAGGGCAATTATTGAAGAATGTTATATCTTGCTTCCTAAGGGATTTCACACTACAGTTGTGGACAAATTGTTTTGAAGTCAGCTGGATGCCTCAGAGTAAAGACAAGTACCCTTAGGTTTGAGATGGGCTCCTGAAAGTAGGTACAAAGTAGGTATACTATAAATCTGGGGATGGCAACCCCCGGCGCATGTGCCAAGCGTGGCATGTGAGGCCATTTTCCTCGGCATGCTTTGGGACTGGGGAGGCAGCGGCCGTTTGCAGCCTCCTGGCTGCAGCCCGCCCCAGCTCTGGGTAGCTGCTGCCAGCTGGGAGCCTGTGCTGCTCCCAGCAGGCAGCTGGGATGCTGCAAGCCCTGCTGGGAGCAGCCTGGGCTCTGTGGCTATCAGCAGCTACCCAGAGCCAGGCCGGCTGCGGCAGGGAGGCTACAAACAGCTGCTGCCTCCTCCGCCCCAATGCCGGCACCTGCTGCCTTCCCGGAGCCCAGGGCCAGGAGACAGCCAGGGCTGGGGCCCGGGCCGGGTGCGGAAGGGCAGCAGCTGTTTGTAGCCTCCCGGCTGCAGCCGGCCCCGGCTTTGGGTAGCTGCTGATAGTCATGGAGCCCAGGCTGCTCCCATGGAGGCCCTACTGCAAGCAGCCCAGACTCCGGGGAGGCAGCTGGGGCCAGGGCGGAGAGGCAGCAGATGTT